GCAAGAGGTGTATCGAACGTCCTTAAATCGATGTGTCGATCTGCCCGGGTTTCGAATCCCGCGGCCGGTAGACCGTAGATTAGCTATGCTTGTACGGAGGATTGGCACCCTCTGTGCAGGTATGGTAGGGTGGAAGAATGTTGGCTTGGGTCAATGTGAGAGATTGACACCGGTTGGCATTTGACCACCCCCCTAATTAATGAGGTTTTCCAGGTTTCCCTCATTCCTGCACTGAATGGTGGTTAGGGCCTACCGACATAAGTCGTTCCTGGGCGCAAATGCGGCCTGCGTAATAATAATATGCCGCCTCCTCTCCCGCACAAGTCTTCGACTTCTAGGCTAATTCTCGTAATTAGAATGAGGAGTAGAGATATTATTATTATTATTATATATTATATTATTTTCATAGGGGTAGCCCAGGAACAAGTGGTAAAAGGCACCGAGAAATGAAAATTAAATATCTTCAGCAAAGATCCAAACTGTACAGGACTAAGCAGTATGTCAAGAGGCTTAAAAGAAGGATTAACTCATTATCTGCAGTTGTAAAGGACTTGAGAGCAACTCAAACATTGTCAAGTTCAGCTCTGGAACATCTCCAAATGAGTTTTGCTGGTTTACCCGCCACATTAATGAGTAGTATGTTAAAAAATGTAAGATCTGGATCGATAACTACAAGTCGTTTTCCAGAAGAGCTTAGACAGTTTGCAATTACTTTGCACTTTTATTCATCTAAGGCATACAATTATGTAAGGAAAACCTTTAATTTAGCTTTACCACATCCAAGCACTATAAGAAAATGGTGTAGTACCTTAGAATGCTTGCCAGGATTTTCTGAAGTTTGTTTTAACACTAAAAACCAAAGTAGCAGAAGCCAAAAGTCGAAATCAAGAAGTGGTTTGTTGCCTCCTATTGGACGAAATGTCTATAAAAAAACAAATAGATTTCGACGGTCAAAGATTTTGGGGATATATAGATATTGGTTGTGACTTCAAAAACTATGAGGTGGAGCCTGACCAGGAAGCCCTGGTAATGATGGTAGTTTGTCTGAATGCTGCATGGAAGCTACCTATAGGATATTTTCTTATAAAATCATTAAGTGGTGCAGAAAAAGCAAGTATTATAAATGAAGCTTTAATTCGACTAGGTGATATTGACATAAATGTAACATCAGTCACATGTGATGGCCCAACAGCACATTTTACTATGTTTAAGGAACTAGGATGCATTTTTCAAGACAGCAAAAATATGAAAACTTATTTTCAGCACCCTGCAAAGAAAGATACAAAAGTATATTCACTTTTTGATATTTGTCATATGTTAAAGCTAATTAGAAATGCGTTAGCACAGCTAAAAATTTTAGTCGATCCTGAAGGAAACAGAATTGAGTGGGAATTTATTACAAAATTACACAATATCCAAGAAGAGGAGACACTTTTGTTAGCTAATAAACTTAGAAAAAGCCATATTGAATGGACAAAACGGAAAATGAAAATATGTAATTTAATAATAATTAATAATAATACCAATATTTAAAATTTACTTAATGTTGCATTCATTCTAGGTTAACATCACAGCTCAAACGTTAAGCAACAGTGTTGCTGAGGCACTGTTATTTTTAAAAAATGATTTGAAACATCCTCAGTTTCAGGGGTGTCAGGCCACTGTTAATTTTATAAAGAAAGTAGATACAATGTTTGATCTTATGAATTCTCGGCTTCCGTGGGTAAAGGGATATAAAGGCCCATTAAGATTAGAAAATGAATATAGTTGGAGGCCATTTGTGGAAGCTTCTGTAGAATATCTTTTTAAATTAAAAGATTTAAAAGGAAACTTTTTATGGCAAACCCTCAAAAAACTCCGTTTCTTGGATTTGCGATATCTGTTATGGGTATTTTTGATGACTACGTAAAAGTTAAATTATGTCCTTACATATAAATTAAGCCAGGACCACCTAGAACTATTTTTCTGTGCAATTAGGTAAGACTTTATAATACTTCTTTTTCGTATGTATTTGTCGATTATAAATTTTAGAGCAAGAAATGGATGGAATAATAATCCGTCTGCACTTCAGTTTATCAGATCATATAAGAAGCTATTACTACATGCAGATATTTCTGATAGTAGTGGAAACTGTAGAGTCCTAGATACAACATCAATTCTATCAATTTCTAGTGGTGGAGCTTCCAAGAAAGACTCCGTTTTGCAGCAGATTGACCTGTATGATATAAGGAAACATAATATCCATTATCATGAGTACATCAATAGTATGCAAGATCATAATTATGATGTTTTGTCTAAAACATATAGTCTCACTAATTACAGTGAGAATGTCGTCTCATATATTGCAGGATATGTAATCAAAATGATCAAGAAAACAGTGCATTGTGAGGACTGTTTAAGTTTATTAATAGAAGAAAACCCTGATGATCCAAATTATTATCTCATAAAAAGAAGAAACTTGGGTAATTAACTTTTTTTTAATTAATGTTTTTTATCAGCCGCCTTTTAGTTTTTGAAATATTTCACAGCAGTGTGAGCTGAGTTTGGAACAATAAAAAGTATATACATTTTTGTGCTTCTAATCGTAACAGAAAAGTGGTGTAGATAATTTAGTTTATACTATTGAGGATCATTAATGTATCGCCAACGACATAATTAGTTTACATTTTTTTATTATATAATTTGTTTCAGGTGCCTATCTTTTTCCCTCCAAAAGTTTGGTACTTATCTGCTCAGAAACGGAAAAGTTTATAAGACTATTAATGAATTTAAAAGACGATAGATTGCCATCCACGGATCTTGTTAATAATATTGTTATTAATGTGTCAGCAAAACTTTTACCCAACCTTGGAAGAACTGTATATTCGAACCACGAGCATAGTTTTCATCTTTTAAAAATGACAATATATAGTTATTGTAAAATTAGGTGCCATAATTTAGCAAAAACATTTACGGCCACTGTTCAAGGAGACGCTATAAGGAAAAAATTTAGTAAATTAATTATATTTCATCATCAGTAATGAATAAATATCCACAAAATAATTGTTTAACTTTTTTATTATCTTATTTATTTGTAATATAGTTCCACTATACACTAATTGACTGAATCGATAGTTTTCAGCACCCTTTGTGTGCATATATGGTCATTCAAATGGGGAGAGTATGTCGATGCAATATAAAATGTTATGAAATTTTAAGTATTTTTTACTCGAAAATTAGAAAACAATGAATTCGTGGAGGAACTAGTAAAGATGTGCCAAAAACCAAAGCTGTCCAAATAATCTGACTGAAAACATTCTGAATTAATAAAAACAAAATTATTTCTATAAGATATAAATAACATTTTTAAATAAATGTGTTTTTATACATTTTTCTTTGAAGTTTCCAACTAGCATCACTATACTCTATGAATTATGAAAACAGATACTTCCGTGACGGAATATATTTTTTAGTTATGTAATTGCACAAATAACAGGCTTTCCCCCCATTGTAACACAGATTTTCTATAAAATGGACTTGGTTTGAAACTCAAATTACTTTTTGGTGGTAAAGTACGATACAGCAAATGCGGCAAATTACAAATCTGTGCATTCATTCATATTTACACAAATTGTAAAAAAAACATAAAAATGTATTGCTAGTTGCCTATTTGCTATAGACAACCATTAATTTTACTTCTTACTTCAAACTATGCAACCATCAGTTACTGGTAGATCAAAATGGCTGCGCCCTATGTTAAACAGGTCGGACGTCTCTCTTCAGCAGTATACTTTAGGTATGTGGTATTACCACAGACGTGATTTTTATTCGGGTATCATAAGAGTGAGCTATTGTCGTGGACGCGAATTTTTAGAGGCTGTGACGTCACACCGCTTTCGCCGTCCGCCTGTTTTACGTTGGGTCGAGGAGCCTCGTGACGACACCGTTTAATGCACGTCCGCCTGTTTTAGGTTGGGCTCCGGCATTTTCTGGATCGGAGCGTGGACGACGGACGCTTCCCGCCAAAACAAAAAAACCGTTACAGATTCTGTGCGACGTGATTGGCTCCCGCGCAGAAGTAACGGTTTAGTTACGTAACGAAGCATATAAAAAGGCCCTGAAAAAAGGGAACAAGGTGTCAACAGCGCAAAGAAGACCCCCAAGCCGACAAACAACAGGCCAAGTCGGCACACCCCCCGAAGGTGACGGCGGCGAAAAGCTTCGCCGACGCCGCCAGGCCGAAGCAGGCCCCTGCCGCTGCACACAAGGGGGGCCCCAAAACCGACAGGGGTGCGGAACCCGCAAATGTGGCCAGCATGCTGGCACAGATGCGGGAGATGTACTCCGCGATGTCGGCTTTTTTCAGCAAAATGCCATCCCTATTACAAGAGTAAATGGACCCTCCGACTAGTGTGCAGTCCCTCAGAATTGCTTCCTGGAATGTCGACGGATTCCGGGGGCGAAAAATCGAACTCAAGGAGCTCTTGCCCCGTCTAGACGTGGACGTGATGGCGATACAAGAGACCAAAGTAGAGGACGCACACACTGTTAGGATTCCTGGCTACCTAGTGTATCGCAGGGACCGAAACAGACACGGAGGAGGCGTGGCCCTGCTCGTAAAAAGAGGTATAGATCACCATATGTTGCAGGTTCCTCAGCTAGAAAACATGGAAGCCGCCGCCGTATCGATTCGTACTCGCAGGTACGGAGACATCGCCGTGGTGACCTGTTATCAGCCCCCTCATCTCCCGCTCACCGATCACGATTTACGCGCGGTCCTGGAGACGTGGCCCCAAACCGTAGCCATCGGGGACTTTAACGCGAAATCGCCCGAATGGCACAGCACGACCACCACCACGCGTGGCAGGGTGCTTCTGCAATTCTTGCAGAACCACGAGGACGTTGCAGCGTATGGACCCGATGGACCGACGTACTACGGTGCAGTTGGAAGACCAGACGTGTTGGATATCGCTTTGCTCAGGGCAATACCGATGGACGCCGATCTGACGACGCACTACGAGGGGGCGACGAACCATGCCCCCATTCTCCTAACCTTAGGAGACGAGCGTCGCGGCGAGGACACCGTTGCCAAGCGGCGGACCGACTGGGGCCTATTCCGCGCAGAAATGCAACGAATATGCGCACCCATTCCGGTCATCCGCGACGCGGCGGACCTCGAGGCTGCCATCGCGAGCCTTGAGACGGATATCCACACCGCCTTGGAAGCCAGCACCACGGAGACGACGGAGAGAAGGATAGCGAACTATGCAGGTGAGTTACCTCTTATGTTGCAGGACCTAATCAGGGAAAGACGTGCGGCGAAAAGAAGAGCCACGAGGACAGCACACCCCCGGGATAAGCAGACGTTAAACCAGCTGAACCGGAGGGTAAAAGCGGCCCTAGAGGAGCACTACCAGGACTCGTGGCAACGACATCTGGAGTCACTAAACCCCGAAGACCGCAGCCTGTGGACGATGCAACGGGCGCTGAGGACCACCCGGAAGCCTATGCCTCCCATTCACGGAGAGAACGGGATCGTCTACACCAGGTATGAAAAGGCCGAGGCATTCGCCGACAGCCTTGAATTACAGTGTAGGGAAAACCTTCTCGACGACGAAGACGAGGACCACGCCGACGAGGTGGAACGACGCGTACGGCGCTACAGACGCCAACCCGACAGGGACGACATTAGGCCGGCGACACCCGAGGAGGTGAGGGACATCCTGCGGCGCCTCAACCCCCGCAAGGCACCCGGATGCGACCAGATCGGAAATCGAATACTCAGAAAGCTCCCCCACAAGGGAGTGATGGCGCTGCTCAACATCGTCAACGCCATCCTGAGACTGCGAAGATTCCCCGCTAGGTGGAAGAAAGCCGACGTCATCTTCTTCCCGAAACCAGGTAAGAATCTAACCTTTGCTGCCAGTTACAGGCCCATCAGTCTCCTGCCGATGATGAGCAAGGTAGCGGAGAGGATCATCCTGACCAGACTGCGTGAGAGCTCGGACGAATTGCGAGTCATCCCCGACGAACAATTCGCCTACCGCAGCGGACACTCAACGGAGCAACAGATACTCAGGTTAGTAGAACATCTGTCCGCAGGTTTCAACAACCGAGAATCCACCGCGGCAGTCTTCCTGGACGTCGCCAAGGCCTTCGACAGGGTCTGGCACGATGGGCTTCTGGCTAAGATGCTCGACTTTGGCTACCCTGTCGGACTGGTCAAACTGGTGGAGTCCTTCCTCAGAGGCAGGAAGCTGCGTGCGAAGGTGGAAGGGGCCCTATCCACCTATCGAGACGTCGAAGCAGGCGTCCCCCAAGGAGCCGTGCTATCACCGCACCTGTTCAACATCTATACATCCGACATGCCCAGGACAGAGCGCACTACCGTGTGCCTCTATGCCGATGACACCGCCATAACGGCCCGTTCCCTGAACCCCGATATGGCGAAGAGGTACCTCCAAAGAGCTGTAAGCCAACTAGAGGACTGGTGCAACAGGTGGAAGGTGGCGATCAACCCGGAGAAAAGCACAGGTATTATGTTTTCTCGTAGGTACCAAACGCGCCCCCAGGGACACGTGAAGTTCAACGGAGAAGACATCCAGTGGGCGACCACCGTCAAGTACCTAGGGGTAACCCTGGATCGCACGCTGACGTGGAAGCCGCACGTCGAAGCAGTGACGCGCAAAGCGAAGATGGTGAGGGCGAAGCTTTATCCGCTTCTGTGCAGGGACAGCCGTCTCTGCCTGCGGAATAAGCTAACCCTCATCAGAGCAGTACTGCAGCCACAGCTGACATACGCTGGAACCGCGTGGGGACACGCAGCGAAGACGCACCTAGCCCGGGTGCAAGCCGTCGAGAATATCGCCCTCCGTTGCGCGACGGGGGCCCCTTGGTTCGTCCGCAACAGCGACATTCGCCGGGATCTGGGATTCACCTCAGCCCTGGAAGCGATCAGAGAGCGCGCGAGAAAGCTTTTCGAGCGCGCCGAGATCCACAGCAACCCGCTGATCCGGAACGCGGTGGACTACCGACCCGAAGAGGCTGCCGGCAGACGCAGGCGGCCTAGACATCAACTCCTGGACGCAGGGTGAGTCGAAATTTTTCTGTCTGTTTCAGGACCGCCAGGATCAAGAGACGAAAACGAACACACACACACACACACATTCCCCCCTACCTTCCTTATCCCACTCTCCCCTCCCGCGCTAGCCTAAGGGCCACCTTAGCAAAGCGCTTCCTAAGCTGCATAGCTGCACGACCTCACCCAAAACCACCACCCCGGTCGCAAACGACAGTCGTCGTTTGCGACCGATACACGACACCCCCGGGGGTATACACAGACGAGCCGGCGAAGAAAGAAGAGCGCCAGAAGAAAGGGCCCTAGCCGGCGGGGCCCAGCCAGGACAGGAGGAGGCCCCACGAACCGATCCAATCCGGCCGCGTTGGCGGTCCGGAATGACGGGGAAAGGGCCTACCTCTACGAGGCGTCCGGGCCTACAGCGATGAAGTGGGTAAAGAGCGATAATCCCGCTCGACCCCGCTCCATCCGAAGTCATTTTTCCTGCCAAGGATATTGGCGCGCGGAACAACGTTCATTCCGCGCTGACCACAGCCCCGTGAGGTTGTGCATCGTAATTTAGCTTTCTACGAAAGTTTCGAACTCGCAAGTTCGAACTGAGCTATTTTGCCGTGAGCAATTTAATTCATTTAAGCCTTTTGCATTGCATTAAACCCCGTGAGGTTTTTCGCATGTAATTTGTCGCATGCGCTACATAATTTCTACGTCCTAAATTCTCGTATTTTCTAAATTATTCGCCACTGAGGTCGCGGTAATTTATAATTAGATTCATTCGCTACGTGATATACAGGGTATTCCAAGAGGAGTCAGTTGTCTGAGCACCGACCAGCAATTGACTCACCATAAGAATTCGTTAACTACAGTCTACCTTCGACGTTCGCAATTTTCATTGCGAATTAAAATAAAGAATTCAGTCTGTGATTTTTATTGCGGACTATAAACATTTCCGCCGTGGCAATCGCGTGCCTCAACGAGGGATAAATCACCAATGGAGCTAATTGACCGTTGCCGGGCGCCTGCAAGGATTTACGGTCTCTTAGCCCCCACAGAAGCAAGAACAGGAGCAACTCACCAAGAGGCTTTGCACTGGGTTTGACGCCGGCGTCTGCCCTAAGCCCTAGAAGCATCAAGACAGAGCCAGCGCTCTAACGACGGGGCATGACAATAAATCGCCCTCGAGGAAGCGACTAGGCCCAAGAAAGAAGTAGACGACCATCGGTCACCCGTGAAACGATAGCTTCGTGCTCGACTGGCACGTCGTAAACCGGGCTTACGTGCGGCCAGTTTCCGGAAACTGATGAGGTGGTGAAGATTCGGGGTCGTGTTTTGCGTTAGGGACTTTGCTGTGCGCACCACCGGCACAGGGAGGTCCTTAAAGGAAGCAGGGAGAGTATTTCTGAAAATGGATAGAGAGCAACGAAGAAACTATATTCTTTGGTACTGGATTTATCTTTATAATATTTAATGACTAGGTTTTGGAAGAATAACTGACGGATATCTAATAATTGTGCTTCTTTATAAAGTACATCTGATGGATACCAATAATTTTTGATGTGAATAATCTTAAGTAGCCACTTCTGCATGCATACAAGCTTTTTTAAATGAGTATTTGTAGCTCCACCCCATATTATTATTCCATAACTAAGATGGGACTGCACCAGGGCATAGTAAAGAATTTTTAAATAGCGTTCGTTAAATATACATCTATAAAGCTTATCTACTTATCAAGGTTCTCAACTTTTTCACTATATAGTCAATATGATGATTCCATCGAAGATTTTTATCAATATATACACCTAAATATTTAATTGCATCTGTCCTTGATATTTCTATATTTGTATCTAACTGAAAATTAAGCGTTTTATAGGTTGGCAATGCGTCATTATAACAGGCAAATGGTAAGAAAAAGGTCTTCTTAGTATTAATTGTTAGGAGTTTGAATTTAAAAAAACGCATTATTTCAGAAAAATCTTTTTCAGCAATATTTCTCAATTCTAACCAATTATCCGTTGTATAGTATACTGCCGTATCATCAGCAAAACTAATAATTTTGCCTAGTGAAGATTGTTTAAACAAGTCATTAATATATATGTTAAAAAGTATCGGTCCCAGGACAGTACCCTGAGGCACCCCGTATTTCACCACTCTCTTGGAACTTACTTGCTCACTAATTTTAACGCTTTGCTCTCTATCCACTAGGTAGCTTAAATCAAATCCAGTACAACACCCCAATATTTTCAAGTGTTTTTAATAATTCTGTATGAGAAACAGTGTCGAGTGCTTTAGCCAAGTAAACAAAAATACAAAGCGCCTTTTTATTTTTATCTAAAGATTTATAAATTTCAGCAGTTAAATCAGCCATTGCATCCTCCGCTGACATAGCTTCTTGGAAGCCATATTGTTGCTTTGATAAGATGTTGTATTTGGACAAATATTCAGTTATTCTCTTTCTCAATATTTTTTCATATATTTTTGACAAGTTGCTCAGCAGCGATATTGGTCTATAATTTGTAACGTCTAACTTATCACCGGATTTAAATATAGGCTTTATTAATGCTTGTTTAAACAACTTTGGGAATACTCCATTTTTTATTGATAGGTTTATTAGAAAACTCAACGGCTTACAGATAAAAGGTGCAATTGTTTTTAACGTTTCTGATTTCAAACCGTCAATACCTGGAGATGCTGCCTCCTTCAACTGCATAATAACCTTTTTAGTTTCACTCTCATTAGTTTGCTGAAGAAAGATTGATTGTAAAATTTTTGTCTGTTTACATTTATATTCTGAGTCATACTTTATTTTACTAGCTAATGAACTCCCTATTTGGCTATAAAATGCGTTAAAAGTTTCAGCAATTTCAATTGGATTATTGGTTACGTTGTCATCCCCAGTTTTTATTTGTTTAACTTCACTAATGTTAATTTTATTTCCATTTATATTTTTTAGATTTTCCCACAATTTTTTATTACAATTTATATTGTTTTCTACTAACGACTGGTAATAACTAATTTTAGATTTCTTTATTAAATTGGTAAGCAAGTTTCTATAATTTGTATATTCTCTTTTTGATTCTATATTATCCGGATTGTTTTGTACTTTTTTGTATAGTGCATGTTTTTTGTTAATCGACTTTACTAACCCATCAGTAATCCAGAGTGACCTTTTCATTTGATTTCTCTTTATCAACTTTTTGGTTGTACATTTATTAATGTTTTCTTTTAAATAATCAACAAAATATTCTGTTGCCATGTCTACGTCGCCCTGCTGATACAAATTATCAAATGATTCATTTTCAAGAGTTTGATTTAGTTTTTTATAATTTAAATAAATTTTATATCTTTTCTTATAATTCATTTTATTTTTTATTACAGATAGGCTAGACACACGAAGAACAGTTGAATACTACTTTGCAAGATAACTGGAAGAAACAACTCATAGTTTAGTTTTGTCCTTATAAACATATGGTCAATACATGTTGCACTCTTGAAGACTAAATACGTTTTATAATTATTGCAGATAATTATAATTATTATTGTAATCTATCGTTTTGTTTTTATTATAACCAGAATTATAACCTAGGTGTGCTTGTTACTTGCTTCTGTATATTATAAGAAAATTCAGCTTTTATTACCTATTTTATTGTCAAAGCAGTTTGTTGTATATTACATAAACAGTGAAATAAATAAGATAATTTGGTGCTGTTCTTTTTTTTTCATCCCTTATCATCACCCAGAACAACAAGAGAATTGTACTTTTCTTTTTATGCATCAATTCTAATCTAAATAAAAATAATTTAATTTGTCACATTTTGATAACAATAAAACGAATTTAAAATATTATTGAAAAAAAAATTATTTTTCATATTTTGTTGCAAAACAGTTTGATCAATATCATTCATGTCATTATTAGAGTTCACAATTTAAATAAAAAAACAAATCTATACTGTTTGAATAATTAATTATTTTAAAAACGTTGACAAACCCGCTTAAATATGCTATAGTAATATTAATACAGTGTCGGAAAGTCCCCATGGTTCGTCGGCCGTTACGTGAGAGCGATAAAGAAAGTCATAGAAATCCGTGCGATAGAGAAAGATGGCTATAATGAAGGTGTCTAATAGTCACCACCCATTTCGCCCTTCCACAAATAAGATCCACTTCTTATTTGTGGAAGGGCGAAATGGGCTGTGACTATTAGACGCCTTCATTATAGCCATCTTTCTCTATCGCACGGATTTCTATGATTTACTTTATCGCTCTCACGTAACGGCCGATGAACCATGGGGACTTTCCGACCCTGTATAACTACGCCCACCCAAACAAACCACTTTACCACTTCGATGAAAATTTTTAAAATAATATTTATAGGTTTAATTATTTATAATCAAATAAATTCAATAAACGGTAAGAACGGCTGGCCACATCGTCATGGGGTCCCAAGAAATATACTATCAGTTGTAATGCTGAAAGAAATAACATAAAAAAAATCTCCGTGGTGACGGTACTTCGGCTGCAAGCGTTGAAGCGACTATAAGACCTCTTTTATGCACGCGTTTAGTATTTTGTAATTAGTTTTACTTTTACAGGATATTATTTTATGATAACCTAGGCAATTGAATGTACAAATTATTATTTCTAACGAATTTGTGACGTTCTAAAGAATTAATCCCTAAAAATTTCGGACAAGCGAAAATGAAATGTGTGTTTTCTCTGCACATAAGAAATTTATTACCAATATTATTATTATTTACAACAAACGAATGCAAGATACTTGACTTGATATTACCATTATTGTTTAGACAAAGTTTTCCAGAAGAATGAGGACGCGAATAAATTTTTCTTAGCAAAAGTAATATTGTCATTAATGTCATCATAAGATGGCATTGGAGAATTTCTACGTGTATTTTCAAATAACCAACAGGTTTCTTGATCAAGTTTCTGTAAACTTAAATATGCAATAGTATAATTTAAACAAATCCACAATATCCAGTTTTTGAAGAGGTCTTACCGATGTGTCAAATGTTTCTAAAAAATTCTTAAAGTTATTCGTAGAAGGCGTGTTTAAAGATTTAAATTCTAGTATTTGTTCCAAATAAGTACCTATCTGTTAATAAACGTTTATCTTGATAGTTATTGATTAATAATAATAATAATGATAATGATAATTATAATGATAATCATAATCATAATCATAATGATAATCATAATGATAATGATAATTAAGAAGAAGAACAAGAAGAGGAAGGAGAAGAAGAACAAGAATAAGAAAAAGAACAAGAAGAATAAGAAGAATAATAATAAGAATAATAAGAATAATAATAAGAAGAAGAATATGAATAAGAATAAGAAGAAGAAGAAGACTAAGAAGAAGAATAATAAGAAGAGTAAGAGTAAGGATAAGAGTAAGAATAAGGATAAGAGTAAGAATAAGAATAATAAGAAGAAGAAGCATAAGAAGAAGAAAATGAAGAAGACGAAGAAGAAGAACAACAGCAACAACAACTGCAACAACAGCAACAACAACAGCAACAACAACAACAGCAGCAACAACAACAGCAACAAAAAGAACAACAAGAACAAAAAGAAGAACAACAAGTACAAAAAGAACAACAAGAACGACAAGAACAACAAGAACGACAACAACAACAAGAACGCCAAGAACGACAAGAACAACAACATCAACAAGAACGACAAGAACAACAAGAACGACAAAAACAACAAGAACGACAAAAAGAACAAGAACGACAAGAACAACAAGAACGACAAAAAGAACAAGAACGACAAAAAGAACAAGAACGACAAAAAGAACAAGAACGACAAAAAGAACAACAACGACAAAAAGAACAACAACGACAAAAAGAACAACAACGACAAAAAGAACAACAACGACAAAAAGAACAACAACGACAAAAAGAACAACAACGACAAAAAGAACAACAACGACAAAAAGAACAACAACGACAAAAAGAACAACAACGACAAAAAGAACAACAACGACAAAAAGAACAACAACGACAAAAAGAACAACAACGACAAAAAGAACAACAACGACAAAAAGAACAACAACGACAAAAAGAACAACAACGACAAAAAGAACAACAACGACAAAAAGAACAACAACGACAAAAAGAACAACAACGACAAAAAGAACAACAACGACAAAAAGAACAACAACGACAAAAAGAACAACAACGACAAAAAGAACAACAACGACAAAAAGAACAACAACGACAAAAAGAACAACAACGACAAAAAGAACAACAACGACAAAAAGAACAACAACGACAAAAAGAACAACAACGACAAAAAGAACAACAACGACAAAAAGAACAACAACGACAAAAAGAACAACAACGACAAAAAGAACAACAACGACAAAAAGAACAACAACGACAAAAAGAACAACAACGACAAAAAGAACAACAANCAGTGCAGGAATGAGGGAAACCTGGAAAACCTCATTAATTAGGGGGGTGATCAAATGCCTACCGGTGTCAATCTCCCACATTGACCCAAGCCAACATTCTTCCACCCTACCATACCTGCACAGAGGGTGCCAATCCTCCGTGCAAGCATAGCTAATCTACGGTCTACCGGCCGCGGGATTCGAAACCCGAGCAGATGGACACATCGATTTAAGTACTGACGCCTTAAACCGTGCGGCTATCGACCGATTAAGTTTATACAACGTAAAACAAGCAAATGACGCGGATCAAAGTCAGTTTGTATTCCGCTTCACTTCGTAGCGTTGTTTACGGCGGTTGTCATGGCAACGAGGCGGCCAACAGGGGAATAAACTACCCCATTGCGTGGGATAACGAGAGTAATGTACCCCGTATAATATATTTTTTGTTGATAATGTAATGCTTAGATCGTAATTATAAATGTTATGAAGCTTCCGTATCGCATAGAGATAAAAATAATACTAGAGTCAGCTTTTTAAATAAATATATAAACTCTTTGCAAATCTTAACATTTTAATTGTAATATTGTCACGAAGTGAATAAACTTCTTACAAACATCATATTTTGAGTTAATTATTTGATAATTAATTTCACAAGTAAAACTGGTGACGAGGATGGGATTGTGTGTCGTTTAAATCTATGAAGAATTTGAGTGATTTAAATAAACTTGAAAAGTTGAAGACACCGCGATTCTACAACAAAAAAACGGGAAGTGAAAGACTGTCGATTGACGCATTGAAGTGACCGTCGATTAGAAGCTCATCTTCGAAGACAAGAATCACAACCGACCAGCCAAGGCCGTTTCGCATTATTTTCCTTCTGACCTTTATTATAATTCACCCACCTATTCTCTCTGAAAATCTTTTGAGAACAATAGGCTCGCTATTCAATGTGAATATCTAGGTTAAGAAAACATCGAAAATCAATTCAAACAAAATCTCAAATCCAATTCTAGTCAAATTTTAGTTGTAAGTTTAATTTAGTACAAATTATTCCTGCAAATAATTTAGCCACAAAATTTAATTTTTATTTTTAAAACTTTGAACATATCAGATTTAATAAATCCTTTGAATAAATTAAAAATTTCCAAGTCAAATAAAATGGCTACAAGCGGAGAACCGAATCTACTTCCACCTATAGATTATCAACTGTTACGATTATATATTGAGAGTATTCCCAAATATGACGGAAATCCTTTTGGAATAAAAACCTTTATAAATTCTTGTGATAACTTGGTTAATCAATTCTTCCATGCAGACAGGGATGCTTTAAATACTTTCATATATCAGGCAATTTTAGGAAAATTAGTAGGCAAGGCACAAATGTTAGTAGGCTCGCGCATAGAAATTAGAAGTTGGTTGCAAGTCAAAGAAATTTTAAGATTAAATTTTGGTGACCAAAGAGACATAAAATGTTTAGAACATGACCTATTAAATTTAAAAATTTCTAAAAATGAAAATTGTCACAGTTTGGTTTAAGATGTCAGGAATTGCGTAGTTTATTAGTCAGTAAATTAATTCATGCAAATAAAACGTTGCAAGAAAAAGAATTTTACTCAAAACATTATGAACAAATGGCATTAGATACATTTACTAGAGTTTTAAATCCGATGTTACAATTTATGATTAGAGTTCAGCAAGTAGAATCATTAGAGGTTGCAATTTCAAAAATTCATGAAGAAGAAAATTTTTCAAATTATAGTAAATCTTTTCAAAATTCAATTTTTTCAAATAAATCAGACTATCAAAAACCAATGCTACCATCATCCCAAATTAAACAACCACAATATAATATTATGCCACGACAAACTGTAGGCTACAATCAAAATTTTTCACAAATTCCAAATCAATTTAAAAATCAAAATTTTCAATCTCAAGCGCCAAGACAAAATTTTCCATCACAACCAATCAATATACAACCCAGACAAATGCCCCCGCAAAAATTTCACACCAATAGCAAAGTTTTTGGAAAACTACAACCAAAACCAAACAATTTTCAACCAATGAATGCAAACCCTACATATAAACCAACACCAATGTCAACAACATCTCACAGACTTGTACCAAGATTCCAAAATACATTCCAACCAACAGGACCAAGAAATTGGACATCAGAAGAACTACACAATGTAGAAGATACAACTGAAGACGGCTGCTACCAAGAAAATTACCACCAAGAACAATTCCAAGAAATTTATCAAGATTGTGACCCGACTATTCAAGAACCTCGAGAAAACTAGGACATGGAACAAGAAGACTCACAACAAATTCCAAATTTTCCTACGGCTGTAACCCAGAACAATCCTACATAGAACTCGACGAAAATGAACAATTCCCAAACGAAATAAACGCCCTTAAATTAGCTTGTCCATTACCCTATATTGAAATTCAAAATCCTCCAATGAAATTATTAATAGACACTGGTTGCGCATCTTCAATTATTCGTCCTTCCATAATCGAAAATTATTATCCCTCTTGTATTTATTTTGATAAAACTGAACTAAAAACTTGTGTTGGTACAACAAACGCTCGTTGTAAAGCAGACATTCCAATTTTTGAAGAATTTAATTCCGATATTTTCATAACTGTTATTCTACATGATTTCCATGAATATTATGATGGACTAATAGGTTTCAATGATCTTCAAAATTTACAATTATCCATAGATTTTTCTCAACAATCTTTATGTAACCCAGACAGATCAATAAACATTCCAATTTACCAAAGAAATCCAAATGACATTACAAAACGTTATTCTGTAAATGCTCACGAAGTTTTAAGAAGAAATTCCCGTTGACGCTCCCGATGGTGACGTATATATTCCATATCAATCAACAGATGATCTTTTCATTCCAGCCTCCATAAGTACATGTCGCAATGGTTATGTTACTGTAGAAATTTATAATATGTCTGAAGAAGCTCAATTTGTCGAATTTGAAGAACCCCTTTCCGTTGAACCTTTTCTAGAAAATTTTGATTCCTTTGATTATGATATTAAATCTCCCGCTTCATCTAAAAATCATAATCTTGAAAGTTTGTTTCGTCTAGAACATCTAAATCCAGAAGAGAAAAAATCCCTTTTAAACATTTGTGATAAATTTCAGGATATCTTTCTAAAACCAGGTGATCTTTTAACTTTTCACAATTCTGTCAAACACGAAATTAGAACAAAAGATGAAAATCCCATTTACACAAAATCCTATAGATTCCCACATGTCCATAAATAAGAAGTAAAAAATAAAATTGAAAAAATGTTACATGAACACATAATTAGACCCAGTATAAGTCCATGGTCCTCACTAATTTGGATGGTTCCTAAGAAAAACGACGCTTCCGGAATTTAAAAATGGAGACTAGTTGTTGACTATCGTAAATTAAATAACAGGACTATCGAAGACCGTTACCCCTTACCTAACATCACAGACATTTTGGACAAATTAGGCCGATGTAACTATTTTACGACACTTGACTTATAGTCCAGACGGTATCTGTTTCAAAAAGCCAGATTTGGGTGAATCGTATATCCACGGAGATTTTTGGCTTTTTGGCTTTCAAATATCATTAGAAAAAAAATTTTCTATGCGCATAAAAAAAACGTGGGCTTAACTTTTGGCGGCACAATATGTTCCAAAAAATTGGAAAAATGTCATATTTTTCTTCCTATTTAATTATGTATCTTTTTAAGAGTCGACTTTAAGCGGAAATGGAAGAGGAAAAAAATGTTTGTAATTAAATTTTTTACAATACATGACTGGTTACAAATCGAATGAATCATGATTATTATGGTAAAAATCGAAAAAATCACAAAAATGGGGTTAAAAAACAATACTTCTTAGGGAATTTTTTTGGGGTATTTAAATTGGGTG